GGGTGGGGGTGGGGGGTGTGCAGGGGGCAGCCGATCAATGACTCTCCCATCATTGATGTTTCTGTCTCTCCCCTTCTCCCTTCCTCCCTCTGAAATCAATAAAGATGTATTTAAAAAAATGAAAAAGGAAAAATTGCCACAATTCTACTATTTTTTTGAGCATACTAAGATAGCATTAAGATGTAAAAAGAGAATTTAAAAAATGAAGCCATAATGATATGCAAATGATATTGATCTAATCAGTCATGTTTGCTGTCATAAAGAAGTCTGCATGATTACAAAATATTTCACATATTATGTGAACATTACTATAGATGACATCATTATCATTAAATACCATCTGTGTGAGCCACCCAGCTAGGTACTATATAGAAGGCTTTAGTACAATCCCTACACTTTGGGAATCAAGTTCACTCAGGTAATCATTTTTTTCTTGAAAAAAAAAAAAAGTTCCCTGATACTTTGTTTTCAATTTAAAGAATAATTTGAGAAGCTTCAATGTATTTGATGGACACTTTCATAAATTACCGAGAGTAAAGGTCAACCCTGAAGAACATTGATTCAATCAAGCTTACATTTGTCACTTATTAATTTAAACTAGATCTGGTTACTCATATTTATACTAATTTTTAGATAGCCTTTATATATGATAACTCAAGACTTTGTAATGAGCCTGGCCAGTGTGGCTCAGTGGTTGAGCGTAGACCCATGAACCAGGAGGTCACAGTTTGATTCCCGGTCAGGGCACATGCCCGGGTTGTGGGCTTGATCCCAAGTAGGGGGAGTGCAGGAGGCAGCCGATCAATGACTCTCTCTCATCATTGATGTTTCTCTCTCTCTCCCTCTCCCTTCCTCTCTTTGAAGTCAATAAAATAAAGTTTTTTAAAACAGACTTTGTAATGAATTTTAATTTTATTTCTAAATTTACCATTTGATTTTCCACTTTGTTTACAGCATCTTTTTCTCCAAATAATTTTATGTAGTCAGTTTTTAGTCTTTTGATTACAGTTTATGTCTTGGCATAATGCTGTATTTTCTTTTAGTTTTTTACATGATTTAATCTTTTAAATTTAAATCTTCATTTCATCTGGAATATTTTTTTGGATGGTTATTTATTTATTTATTTCTTACACAGCAAACATTTTATTTTTAAAAAGAAGAAAAAGTTTTTGGTTTTCTGCATTTTATTTTCCAAAAATCTATATTGCCAAACAGACTGTCCACACATATGATGAATATTCACTCCCCAAATGCTGCTCCAGAGCAAGATGGGTGATAAGCTTCATACATGTGTCAACCATGTCACATGACATTGGCTCTATGGAGCTCCTGCCCCTGTCTTATTTCTATTCAGTGTGTAATGAATCATTAAGGTCAGTACTTAGACTTATATATTTAAAAAATGTTGAGAAAATATTAGTACTTTTGTTCATTACACAGCTGGAGAGGGGCCTTAGTGCAGAGGTCCAGAATCTGGGGTGTGAAAACAATGGGGAGTCTTAATCCATTCCCATAACTTCCTGTCCTCTACTTTAAGACAGCCTCTGACACTGTAGAAATTCACTTATGGAAACTGAAAATTGGGGAACAATCTTTTTGTGTAAGTAAAACCCTCCAAGCTACTACTTACCTGGGATCACAAATGAAAGGAGTCAGACTTTTATATATATATATACATATATATATATGTATATATATATATCTTTATTGATTTCAGAGAGAGGAAAGGAGAGGGAGAGAGAGAGATAGAAACATCAATGATGAGAGAGTCACTGATCGAGCCCGCAACCCGGGCATGTGCCCTGACAGGGAAACGAACGAACCCCAATCGCCTGGATCCCAGGTCAATGCTCAACCGCTGAGCCACGCCCGGCCGGGCAAAAGGAGTCAGACTTTTCAAAACAAACAGATCAACAGATTAAACACCCTCAAGTTCTAATAGCCCTACTTAAAAACCCTTAGTTAAAAAGTAAATGAGAGATACTCACCAAAGGTGGATAGCTTTAAGCATAGAAGCTGGTAATTATTTTAAGGAACACTACTTGGAATCCATCTGTCCTAACGAGAAGTTTATAGGACTTTTCAGTCATTCAAGGCCTCATTTAAAGGACCAGGCCCCACCACAGGATATGTCTCCCTCTTGATATGGATCAACTTTAGTATGTGACTTATTTTAATGAATGCTTAATATAATATTGAGGGTTTTTTTTTTTTCAGTACTGAAATTTAATAAATTGTTGCCAAACAAAAGACAAGATATAATAAAAACTATCAGAATCTGGATACCTAATAATGAACTACCATGGTGTACGGTACCCAAGCAAAATGCAAAACATGTAAAGAAACAAATATGTGACTGATAAGAGGAAATAGTCAGTAGAAACCAGCACAGAAATGATGATGAACTACCCCCAAATTTTAAAAAGTATATTCAAGTATTTATACCAAACATAAAAATAAACAAAAATTAGAGAAACAGAAGAATATGTATATATATATTTAAAAATATACATGTGGATATTATATAAGTAAAAAATATAAAATCTAAAACCTTATGTCTGTTGAGAGACTCAACAGTAAATTAAGTATTGTAGAAACAACAGATCTTTGAACTTGAGACAAGAAGATAGTAACTATCCAAACTATAGCATAGAGATTAAAAAAAAAAAAAAAAAAAAAAGGCTGCCTTCTCTCCCCTCTCCCCCAAAGCCATCATTATGAGACAGCAATCTATCAAAAGGTCTAATATTTATATAACCCAGAAGGAAAAGAGAGGCAGAAAAAAATGCCAAAACTGAAAACTTTTTTCACAGGTGGTCTGCAGTACATAATGTTAAAGAAACTTATTCCGGCTGAATGAAAATTATTCCAGTTAGAAAGATAAATCTAGACAAACCAGAAGTGTCAGAAATGACTGAGCACCACCACGAGTGGCAGCCACTATCTCAAGAGGCGGCCACCATCCTGACCGGCAGCCACCGGAGGGGGGGAAAAAAAATGAGTGAACCAATAAGAACAAATTGTAAAACGATAGTAGAATTAAACCTAACATAGGAAAATATTACATAAAAAATAAATGGACTAACCCTGGCTGGGTGGCTCAATTGGTTGGAGCATTGCCCTGTCCACCAAAAGGGTTTCAGGTTTGATTCCCTGTCAGGGCACATACCTAGGTTTGGGATTCGATAGGCTGATGTTTCTCTCTCAGATCAATGTTTCTCTCAATCTCTCTCTCTCTCAAAAAATAATAAATATATCCTCAGAGAAAACCAAGGGAGAGAGGGATTCTGAGACAGTTTAGCGTCCAGTTCAGTGGACGCACTTGGATGAACACCTGGGGAAGGTAGAAAGCTTGGGTAGAGGGAGGGAGAGGTCAGTCTCCCTCTGAATAGCAGCCTCGGCTGACCCCACGGGGACTCTGGAGCTAACTGGCCTCTCAGACTCGCCACCGAGGGCTGAAGCGTCCGAGCCTTCCTATCTCTCCCTTCAACAGTCATTTAATGTGACCGCCCTGGGAAGGGCTGGGGGCGTGGGCTTTCTGCAGCCCGGGCCATCCTTAGGGCTGACAGCTGGAGGCTTTCTTCCCATGGCTCCCCTGCGGCTGGACTGGGCAACAAGTCTTTCCTTGAAAGCAGATGTGAGGAGCATGTCTCTGCATCCACCCCATTCTCTAGGGAAGCTGAAGTGAACAGGCAATGAGAAAACAAACAAACAAAAACTAGAGTAATCGTTTCTGCAGTGCCCTGCTGTAGCTAAGCTATAAGTTGTATTGAAAAAGTATGTCGTTTTTTCGTGGGAGAGAAGTGGATTTACACATAATGGAGCTGATAGGAAGCTCTTCTCTGGTGTCTAAAGTGATGATGATAATAGTGACTCAGGTGGGATATAAAGGACATAAAACACTGCCTGCCACATAGGAGTGAGCTCAAAAGATAGTTATTGTTCACTACTATTACCAAAGCAGGATTTTCTTAAAAAAAACACACACACACAGTAAAAAAAGCACACCTGGTCTTTTGTGTTTATAAACAGCTAATATTTTAAGAAGGAATGAAGTGCCCTGCACTTCCTAGCATGAAGATGGCATCACTTTGGAATGGGCCATTAAGTTCTTAGATTTTGTTGAAACAGCCCAAACACCCTCTATACACACTCACACCCCCTCCCATCTTTATTCCCAGTCCCCTGGTCCTGACCATCTTTCATGCATTCACATAACAAAAATCACAGGTGCCCGTATATGTCCTCATGACTTGGTTTTACCCTCATGGCTGCCCTCTAGTCTTCTGGAAAGGCCTCAGACTCGGAGTTTTACCCTTTGCTTTTGTGCTTAATCGCTATTCAGACCCTCTTTTTTACTGCCATGCCATAAAACCCCTCATGAAGGCCTTCTCTTCCCTCCAGGTCTTCATGCTTCTCTGCCTCTTCAGGGAGCCCAGGACACCATACTGACACCGTATACCCTCAAAGTTTTATGTGTTTGTTTGTTTTGTTTTTTACATTCCATCACAAAAAAAGTTTTAATGGTTGCAAATATATATACTCAACAACCAAGCATACACGCAGGGGAGCAAAAAGTCAAAAACAAAGGAAACAAAGTTATGACACAAATGACCACATCTAGAGTGCCACTCGATCTTTAATCAAGTAGGGACAAATCCCCACTTTAAATAAATCTGCAGTTCAAAGGGCAAAGGGAACAGATAAAAAAGAGAAAACTACATTCACCCCTCCCCCATAGGCTTTCCAAACCTGTTGTAGCTTGACTAAAATGTTCAGAATGCACAATTTTAAAGGCAAGTCTCTTTATACAGAGGAACTGCTGGCATTCTTAACGAGTGAACAATTGTGGCCAAAAAGCCTACTATTCTGAACCCCAAACATGGTCTGAGAAAGCATATTCTGATTGCAGCAACTGTCAATTCAAATACATTCACAATTTTGTTTTGTTTTTTAAATTCCAGTTTTCATATCTTTTAAAATCTTCTTTTGGTAACTGAGTACATTGAAGGGCTATTTTTTTTTTTTTTTGTAGCTCATATATAAGTGGGTGAGGTATAATTTTGAAGCCAGTTTTAAATGAGAATCCCAAAGGGTTAATTAGGTATAGAGGCTGGCTGTTGACGGGTAAGCTCAATTAGGGCCTCTGCCTGAAACATGATTGTCCTCGTAAGAGCTTCTCAGCTGTAACTTGCATATTCAAGGACAAAAATTGGATTCTAATTAGCAACATTTTCCCCCCACTTAATTTTCTCTAATTTTAGAAGTGCACTAACTCACAACTTTATCTATTCCAACAAACAAGCCTGTACCAAGAGCGGGTTTGTGCCGAGTCCTGTAGGCCTTCCTGTACCCAGCACCTGGACTGGTATCTGTGAGCAAGAAGCCATGGTGGTGAAAAGGGTGTTAAGAGAAAGACTTAAAAATGTAAATGATACTATTATGAAGCAGAATAGGAAATGGGCTATAGGAATTCCAAGAAAGCGGTTGGTCGTGTCTGTCTGGGGTGGGGCAGGAAAGGTTTAATGGAAAGGTGCAGTGTGAGATGGGGGCATAGCAACTTGGATTTTGACCAGCAGAGATGGAGGGGAGGCATTCCTGCAAAAACAGAGGGCAGAAATCTTGGGTGTGCAAACGCAGGTCTACACTTGTAATACAAACGATACAACGATTAGTAAATAAATAATAATACAAGAATAAATTGTGTTTTTCATACTCACAACTGTAAGTCTACTTTTGCCCACCCCTGAATAAAGGTGCAAGATATGATTGATGGGTAATATCCACACGCTGGGGAGCCTTGAACAGCAGTGTGAATGACCTTGTGAATGGAGACCCACCGGCCGTGAGGAGGCAGGGGTGAAATGACTGCCATTTGGCGTTAAGGTGACACGGGATTGGGCAAGGAGGCTTCCTGTAGGGCCAGAGGAAACTGACGCGAGGATCCACTCCCACAACACTGGGAAAGCAAACTCCGAAGGACCTGGGTGCAGGCCATATCCGTTAAGGAGAGGGGAGAGAGGCGAAGAGCGGGAGGGTGGAGGGAGACCTGCAGGAGGCCTTGGAGTAGAACCGTGGAAGAACGAATTTGTTTTAGGCATGTTAATTAGAGCTGCCAATGACTTACCCCGGTGGAGATAGGAAAACATGCCCCAGGAGAGAGTCGAACTGTGGATATAGATGAAGAATTGAAGATAGAGCTCTGTGTCCAGGGGATTCTTGAGGGAAACAGTGGTCTCTTCTCTTTCTACGCTTTCTCCCTCAGAAAATCTCTTCCATTCTTGGAGGGACATTTTCATTTCAGGAGTGGGAGGCGACGATTTAAGAGGACAGTGAAGGGATCATCAGAGAAGTAGGAGTTCCTGGGTTGTACAGTATCCTGGAAGTCAAAGGAAAAGAGAGGTTTAAAAGGCAGGGGTGTGGGGGTTAATCTCAAACGCTGCCGAGGAGCTGGACTGCTTGAGGTCTAAGCCGAGATTCTCCCCACCATTCCATGGTGTCTGGTTAAGACTAATAACAGCACTTATCCCGTGATACTTTAATTGCTTATTGCTGTCCACCGTCAGGTAGGGGTAAATCGATATTGTTGCTTATTTTATCCCCAGCACTTACAATAAATGAGCAAATGAATGAATAAACATGTGAATGAAAGTATCAATTGTGATGCAAAGAGTAGTTTCAGTTTGGAGGTGGGTGTAGAAGCCAAATTCCAATGCCTACAGTAAATGAATGGTGGCAAAGAGAGCCGGGGAGATATAGTGAAATAGCTTTTCCTTTGTAAGAAACAAAAGGAAAACCCCAAACACGTAAATTCTTGAAACTGTTGGCTTTAATTGTGGTCATAAAAAAATAAACGGCCACTGTGTCAGTGAATGCAGATAGGAGAAAGTCCCGCTAAGAATGACATTTCTGGCTGGCCGGTGTGACGCAGAACGTTGACCTATGAACCAGGAGGTCACAGTTCAATTCTCAGTTAGGGCACATGCCCGGGGTTTCTGGATCAGTCTTGGGGGTGGGGGGTGCAGGAGGCAGCAGATCAATGACTCTCTCTCGTTGATGTTTCTCTCCCTCTCCCACTCTCTGAAATCAATTTTTTAAAAAAAGACATTTCTGTTCATTCTGAGATCATCTGTTGACCTAGTGGGACTTCAGAGAGATTTAGATGACAAGAAGAGCGTCTGACAGATATTCATGAGAGCTAGATTAAAACAATGATACAGTCAACTGTGGTCCGAGGCCTTGTAAACCAGTGCCAGTTGGATGCTCGGAGGACTGGGAACAGCAATCTCAAGGCAGCCATGTGGGACTAATCTGGAGAAGCTTTAAGGAAGGAGATAAATTTAAACTGTTTTGAAAGGGGACTATTCTAGTCCATTGGCAAAGAGCCTTAAAGCACAGGATTAGGTATTTTAATTTGATTACTCGAGGTAATTTGGAGCCACCTCAATGTTCTGAGAAGACCTGGTATAAATGTTTGGAAGATGACTCATTTCAGTACTTTTTAACTCTGGCTGCATATTAGAATTACCTGGAGAGCTGTGAAAAATCCTGGTGCTTGGGCCGCACCCCAGAACAGTGAAATTGAGAGGTAGGACCCAGCCATCAGTGGGTTTTTGTGTTTGGTTTTTGTTTTTTTAAAAATTTCTCTGGATGAGCCCAAAGTGAGAAACACTGTTCTAAGTATAGGGAAAATTGCAAACAAGCAAGACTTGAATTAGAAAGGTGAGCAAGGAGGCTGGGAATTGGAGTCTGACCTAGCTTTGTGAACAGAGATTAAAGGGGGTGAAGCTAAATAAAGTACCCTGCAGAAAAGCTTGGTTGGACTTTGTGATGCATGTCAGTTGCAATTTTTCATAAAAGCTATATTCCAGGACCATCGCTGCTCTTATTGTGATGGATTCATCGGGAAAGGAGCAGGGAAGTAGGATTTGCTTTGCTAAAAATTGCAGCTTTTACTATTAGCAAAATGCTCCATTTCCAAAGTAGCAAGGCAGGTCAGAGGAGGAAACACAGTCATATTAAAAGTAGATAAGCCTTTGTTCATATTTGGAAGGAGAAAATAAAGCCAGTGATGGATGCTCCAGAATTAAGACTCAAAATTCAGATTTTTAAATTGAGTTATTATGGGAGATATTGGGTTGTGGTAAAATTATGACCCCTTTTTAGAGTAACCTTGAAGGAAATGAAGCCAGACAATTAAGGACACTGAAAAGAAGGATTCCCCATCATTTTCAATCATAACATTCCCCTCTCCTGGAGTGAAGAATTTGTAACAGGTGTGGGAAATGGATGGGTGGCGTCCTGGAAATGATGACCTCTCAGGGAGGGGGCCGGCGAGCAATGGGGAGGGTCCCAGTGTTCCTGTTAAATCACTTTACATTTATCCTGGCAGGTCCCATCTTTAAAGCTTAGAGGAAGGGCGCGGAACGTCATCAAGTGGCACTATTATTTATAATAAGTAGTGTTTCGTAACATAACTTGTATCATGAGCATTTGATAGAATGTAGCCACTGAAAGAGAAACTTCCCTGGCAAGAGCACCCTGAAGAGAAGCCACTGGAGATGGTTGTGGAGCAAAATCATCTTTTTCTTTCTTTCTGGCTTTGAGGATGGGGCTGAGCCTTACAACCATGATAAGCCTCCATCTAGTAACTGCTGTCATTTCTATAGAGAACGGGCTCAGGACTGGGAATGAAAGGTCAATTGTTCCTAGATGCCTGCTCCCAAATGCTGCGTCCCTGGCACGTGCAGGGATAAGGGAGCTGGCAGGGCTGGTCCAGCTGCAAGTCGAGGTCTACACGTCCCACAACCTTCATCAGCTAACTTGGTCCTATTTGCAGGGCACAGGGTGGGGTGGGGG